AGCGTTGCGATTTTTTTTTTCTCTCTCGTCTCTACTTTTCGGTCGTCTTCGTTGTCCTCTCTAGGGTTTTACTTTATCTTCTTCTACATCAAAACTCTAGGGTTCTGTTCGAGATTTACGCTTCTGTCCAGATTCTCCTGCTTCCGCTTCGGTTGGATCTTCGGTTCGAGCGGCTGCTCAGGAGTTCTAGTCGGTTAGTTCGTTTTGTGCCCCCCTAATTCTCTTTTGCAGATCGAATGTTCACTTTCGTTTAGTAATTAAGGTTCCTATGCAAAATACAAGGTAGAATTGAATTGCTCAGTCTCAGAGATAGGATTTTTGAATCTAAGTTCTCTCCTCGGAGGATCGGTTTTCAGGTTTTTGTTTCCAAAATTGATACGCCTTACTTAATTGTTTGATTTCTGCAAGGTCAGCCTAATCCCGCTCTAGGCTGTGAGGATATGACTGTGAGGAACGGTGATTTCCCGGGTGATTACTATCGTAACAATATTGACACACACGGTGGTTATGATGAAGAGCCTGGCAGCCCTAATGTTTCCGAGGGTTCAAACTGTTTCAAAAGAAAGTTTACTTGTTCCGAAGATGAAACATTTGGTGTCCCGCGAATGGTTTTACCATTGTCTGGCTTGTCATCGTCAGAAAGGAATAAGTTGATCCATAGGCTACGACTGGAGCTGGAACAGATACGGTCCTATCAGAAGGATGTCGAGCTTCCTAGATCAGAGGCTGTCACTAGTAATCCTGCAATGAATTTGTCTCGAGCCAAGAGTTTTGGAATGTCACGATGCTCTACTGGGCCGGGGAAAAAAGTACTTCCCTGTAGCGCAGCTAAACCAGCTCCAGTCACTGCTTCTACAATGCTTCAAATGAAGCAATGTGAGACCCTCCTGAAACGATTAATGGCGCATCAGCACGGTTGGCTCTTTAAAACTCCTGTCGATGTGGTCAAGCTGAACATACCTGATTATTTCACCATTATCAAACATCCAATGGATTTAGGAACTGTAAAGAGCAAGTTAACCGCAGGCACATATTCAAGCCCATCAGAGTTTTCTGCTGATGTCCGTCTTACTTTCTCCAATGCAATGACATATAACCCTCCGGGCAATGATGTTTATATCATGGCTGATACGCTCAGCAAGTTTTTTGAAGTGAGGTGGAAATCGATTGATAAGAAGTCACCTGGAACCAAATCTAAGCCAAGTAATTCGGGTACCCCTGCTGACAGAGAGATTGAAATGCCCGCGTCTTTGGCTAAGAAGAGAAGGATGAATGCAGTGGATCATGACAGTGCCTTAGAGCCTGCTAATCGGGTTATGGCAGATGAGGATAGAGTAAAGCTTGGCAGAGATTTGGGGTCCTTGACAGAATTCCCGGTACATATAATAAATTTCCTGAGAGATCACAGCTCCAAGGTAGGGGGACTTGGAGATGATGAGATAGAGATTGACATTAATGATCTCAGTCATGATGCCTTGTTCCAGCTGCGAGACCTCTTAGATGAGTTTTCGCGAGAAAATCAGAAGAAGGATTCAAACAGTGAACCCTGTGAGTTAGAGGTAATTATCCTTCTGTATCTCATGTTTGAACCATTTGATAATGTGACTGACAAACAGCGAACTTTTTTTGATGTAGCTTTTGCATGGGTCAGGGCCAGAAAATTCATTGGTGCAACAGTGTGATGGTTAGCATAAATTTTTTTTGTTGTTTGAGCAATCTTATGTTCTGCTGTATGTTTAAACTGTCATTTCTTTCTCTTTTCTTCCAGGGAGTGAAATGGAGGATGAGGATGTTGACATCGGTGATTATGAGCACCCTAGATCAAGGATCTCTCCTGTCAGGACTGATAAGGGTATGGTGTTAGGGAACTACACTAGTGTGTTTTCTCCATCTTGTTATATTATCTCAGTCTTATTCTCTTTGGAGCTTTTGCATATGTTTAATTGCTGCAGTTTTATATGCACTTTAACTCTTAGAACCAATTTCAAATTTCTTGTCAGAAGCTGTTGTCGATCTAGAACTCACTGTTCTTATTTAAATGATCTTTTTACTTGCTGATAGCAACTCTTATTACACTCTGGTTTGATAGTGATAGACATACATTCTCTGTTTGTTTTACTCTCATGCCGCTGTTTTCTGTTATCTTTAGCAATCATATGATTCTTTTAGAGTGCTCTAACCTATGGTTACTCCTCTTTGGTGCATGTAACTGATTAGGGTCTAGTAGCTCGGAGAGTGTACCAGATGATCCTAAAACGCCAAGATTAACGAGTTCAAAGGTAAATACCAATGTGGATCATAGATTCATAATTGATATATGTGTGCCTCTTCAAAGGTCTTAGATACATTGCCACAATTTGGACATTGTTGTCATTGGTCATCTTACAAACTCTAAGATATGCTTAATACCTGACAGACACTTTATTTTTATTGGTAATTTTCCTTATCCTTTCATCCCCTGATGCAGGGGCCTGAAAGCATGGATTCAGAATCTCCCATGGATGGAACAACAACCACTTCCCCAAGGAGAAAACGTGAGCCAGATTTTAATTTTGGTCGAAAAGTGTTTAAATTTTGTTGATTTTGAATTTTGACCCCTTGTTTGCTTATGCCCCCCCCCCCCCTTCTCTCTCTCTCTAAAAGCAGCTTCGGTCGGTGGATTAGATCAGCTGGAAGATGGATCCAAAGAGAAGCTAAGTTCTGTTGAGGGGACAGATTGTCATCAAGATGGTAAGCTCAGGAGTGTGGCGGAAAAATGTTCTGCTCTAATGTCTAGGGGGTGGCATCTCACTTTTGACCGTTAATAATTTAGGAAATAGTGCTCCAAATGAGAAGGAACTACCTCCAGAAAAGCGTTACAGGGCAGCTCTACTGAAAAATCGATTTGCAGATTTAATCTTAAAGGCTCGAGAGAAAACTCTTAATCAGGTTATTTGCCCTGCTATTCTGGTCCCTTTTTGATTTTGGAAATTATTTGCTCAAGAAATTATGTGTCTGAGGTCAGAACGAGAAGCGAGACCCAGAGAAATTGCGTCGTGAGAAGGAAGAACTGGAATTGCAAAAGAAGAAAGGTATCTTTGATTTGCTTGTTCTAGGTTTCTGATTAAAGATATTATGTACCAAGTACGTCTGAGTGAAATACGTAGAGTCTGACCGTGAGCATATAAACTTTGTCCTCTATTTTGCACCAGAAAAAGCACGGTTACAAGCAGAAGCCAAAGAGGCTGAAGAAGCTCGTAGAAAAGCAGAGGCACAAGCTGCGGCGGAGGCTAGGAGGAAACTGGAACTTGAAAGAGAAGCAGCTCGCCAGGCATTGCTTGAGGTGAAATCAAAATAGCTGGTTCTGGCCTATGTGATTGTTTGTTTATACGGAAATATTGATTATTGGCATGGCTGAATGGTACACACAGATGGAGAAGTCGGTTGAAATAAACGAGAACTCAAGGTTTCTCAAGGACCTAGAACTGCTCAAAACTGTAAGCACGGACCATTTGACAAGTAAAAGAGAGGATGATGATGGGTTGGGTGTTTTGGGGTTTGGAGGCAGCAATGCTCTCGAGCAGCTCGGGCTGTTTATGAAACAGGACGAGGATGAAGATGAAGCTGACCCACTGGCTTCTCCAGAAATTGAAGAGGGTGAAATCGACTGAGAGCTTCGATTTGTAAATGAATCCAAGAAATTTGTAAAATAAGTAGTATGATATTTAATTTTTAACAAATGCAATGGCTGTTTATCCACACCTAATCAATTAAAAATGGTAGGTACTGAAGGTTTGGATTTTGCAAGGGAGAGAGAGCGAGAGACACCATGGCATGCTTTTCTTTCTTCCGTATACGTACGTAGGTTTGTGTTTCAACGGAACTATCTGTTTTAGATACGCATGTTGTTGCACTCGAGTTTGTTATAAAAAAAAGGCCAGTAGTACAAGTGATTACACAATGCATCCAACCAATGGTGTGTGTAAAATGAATGTTTATGCCAAGAAATCTTCTATAAGTCTGCGCAGTCGTCAGTATTAGGTAGACTGCCCTCTTTAATGTGAACAATTAGTTTGGCGAGTCCCCCAATAGGTGCTACGATCATCAGGAGAACCCCAAGAATTATGCAAATCTGAGGAAAATATCAAAATCTCTCTGCATCATATGATATAAGCTTGATGATACATACATACCACAAGGAGGGAGAGAGGAGTTGTGCTTACCCAGTTGAGACACCATGAGACACTAAATCTCTTTGGTTTCTTTAGGATCAACCACATGATGCAGGGGATCTGAAACATTTATGTATTTTTTTACTTAAACC